AGCCCATCCCATTCCACCCCCTCCCACGGGCAGGGACACCTTCCACTGGCCCAGATTGCTCCAACCTGGCCTTGGACACTTCCAGGGATCCAGGGGCAGCCACAGCTTCTCTGGGAAATCCAGTCCAGCCCTTCCCCACCCTCCCAGCCAGCAATTCCTTCCCAATCTCCCATCTCTCCCTGCCCTCTGGCACTGGGAAGCCATTCATTCCCTGTGTCCTGTCCCTCCATCCCTTGTCCCCAGTCCCTCTCCAGCTCTCCTGGAGCCCCTTTAGGCCCTGCAAGGGGCTCTCAGGTCTCCCTGGATCCTTCTTTTCTCCCCCCCAGCTGTCCCAGCCTGGCTCCAGAGCAGAGGGGCTCATAGGACTCAGAATTCCTAAAACTCATCCAGCACCTACAAATCTGTGCCAAAAAAAAAGAGCTCAGGCTGGAAAAGGAGCATTGAAGAATTTGTTGCTGGCAAGGGGCTGCCCAGGGAGGTTTGGAGTGCCCAGGCCTGGAGGTGTCCCAGGCAGGCCTGGCCGTGGCACTCAGTGCTCTGGGCTGGGGGACAAGGTGGGGATGGGGCACAGGGGGGATCCATGGGCTGGGAGGGCTTTTCCAACCTCAGGGATCCTGGGATTCTGGGATTGAGAACAGCAACTGAATCGTGGTCAGCAGAAGGGGGGCTTTGTCTCCCATGACATCCTTGTCAGCTGGGAGGGATCAGACTGAGTGGGAAATGTCCCAGGGGAGCAGATGATGGTCAGTTAGCCCAGTTCCCCCTCCGTGACAGTGGCATTACAAGATGAATTGTAATTAATTAAGGAGATTACTCAAGGAGATCACATTTCCTGGCCATTCCAGGTGGCCCATTGCCCTTGTCCCTTCCAGCTTCCAATGTCCTGGCACTGATGACATCAGCAGGGATGTCCCTGCTCGGTCCCGTTGCAGTCTGTGCATGGACCTGCTCTCTGGGAATTCACCCCATCCCTCTCTGAGCCTGCCAGTGCTGTTCCTCTCCGTGGCTCCCACGGCCTCCAGCTCCTCTGGCTGTGAGGTTTGGGGGTTACAGAACCACCCCCATGGCATTGGTGGGGTCTGTAAACCTCGGCCATGCCACCTCCCTGAGCCTTCCCTTCTCCAAAGCAGACAGTCATGGAATCACAGGGTCACCGAGGCTGGAAAAGATTCCTTAGGACCATGGAGTCCAATGGCCAAGGCCACCACTGACCCATGTCCCCAAGTGCCACATCCACAGAGCTTTTCGGTCCCTCCAGGACTGGTGACTCCCCCCCTGCCCTGGGAATCTTGTTCCAGTGGTTGATACTTCCAGCCTGTCTCCGTAGGGAAGTTGCTCCATCCATCCCCTTGACCATTTTAATTGCCCTTTCCTGGTCCTGCTGCAGTTCCATCTCTCCCTGCTGGAGATGCTGAACCAGAGCAGCTCCCAGAAGAGCCCCAGAATGACACGCCCCACCTCCCTTTCCACCCCTTCCCTGACAGCTTTGATTGCTCCTGTGTACCGAACCCACGACTTAGAGAGCTCAGCATCAA